CCCCCCGCACGGGGCAACCAGTCAGGGGCGTCCCTGCAGGACTTCGTGCTGCTGGGGTTCGCGGGTGGTGTGCACACACAGGCCCTGCTCTTCGCCCTGTTCCTGGGCCTCTATGTGGCGACCGTGCTGGGCAACCTCACCATGATCGTGGTCATCACGCTGGACGCCCGCCTGCACTCGCCCATGTACTTCTTCCTCAAGAACCTGTCCTTCGTGGACCTGTGCTACTCGTCCGTCATCGCCCCCAACGCCCTGGCCAACTTCTTCTCCCCCTCCAAGACCATCACCTTCATGGGCTGTGCCACCCAGTTCTTCCTCTTCTCTCTGTTTGGCACCACGGAGGCGTTCCTGCTGGCCGTGATGGCCTACGACCGCTTCATGGCCATCTGCCGGCCCCTGCGTTACCCCGTCACCATGTGCCCGTCGGCCTGTGCCCGCCTGGTGCTGGGCACCTACTGCGGGGGCTGCATCAACACCCTGGTGCAGACCAGTTTCACGTTCACGCTGCCCTTCTGCGGCTCCCGCCGCGTCGACCACTTCTTCTGTGACGTGCCCCCGCTGCTCCCGCTGGCCTGCGCCGACACCACCCTCAACCAGCTGGTCATGTTCGGCGTCTGCGGCCTCATCATCGTGGGCACCTCCCTCGTGGTCCTCGTGTCCTACGGCTACATCGCGGGCACCATCCTGCGCGTGCACTCGGGCGCCGCGAGGCACAAGGTCTTCTCTACCTGCGGCTCGCACATGACGGCCGTCTGCCTCTTCTACGGCACCGTGTTCGTCATGTACGCGCAGCCCGGCGCCGTGGCGTCCATGGAGCAGGGCAAGGTGGTCTCGGTCTTCTACACGCTGGTCATCCCCATGCTCAACCCGCTCATCTACAGCCTGCGCAACAAGGACGTGAAGGAGGCCCTGCGGCGGCTGGGCCAGAGACCCGCGGCCGGTGAGCTGGGCGGCACCCGGCGGGCGGGGCCGCGGGGTCGCCAGTGAGGACCGAGGGCCCTCTGCTGTCGGTCACCCTGCCTGTCCTGCGGGGACGCACATCGTGCAATCAGGGGTGGTCATCGCCAGCAAGGCCGCCGGGTGTTGCCAGGAGCAGAGCACGGCCTGAGGGCAGAGGTGGCGGGGAGCCACGGCCCAGGGGTGTGGGTGTCCCCACCACCACAGAACACCTGGAAGGGTGCCGGCAGGTGCCGCCCTGACCCCCAGATGTGACCCGGCCCCGCAGCCCGGGACAGTGCGCAGAGGCGCTGCCGGCTCAGCCCCTGCCCGCTGCCCCTTGCATCTGCTTCCTGTCCGTGGTGCTGACCGCCGGGCTGCCGAGAGCCCACTCCTGCTCCAGAGGCCCCGCTGGCCCGGCCTGGTTCCCCTTGGGCCCCCTGGGCTCCCCCCCACCAGGGCCCAATGTCCAGCCCAGGGCCCTCAGACCTGGAGGCGCCTGTCCAGCCCACGAGGGCCTTCGGGCACATCCAGGCATTGTCTGCGATGCCCCAGGACCCAGCCAGGCCCTGGGGTCCCCGCCACCCCCCACTGGCTCATGGCACCTTGGGGGCAGGGGGGTCCCACAGCGCCTGCCTGGCCCACCCGGCTTGTCGCCCCCGCCCACCCCGCCCTCTCCTGCTTCCCTCTACCTGAGCGTGGGGACACCCCTGCGCCCTCTTAATCCAGTTTCAGAGGGAAAACCACTCCCCCAGCTGTGGGCCCCGTGTGCTCTCCGGCCGGCGGGGGCGGCCGCCGCACACTTCATGTGCTCAGGAGCAAGTCAGGAGATCCGACGAGAGAAAAATCTTCCAGGTGCTTGTGGGAGAAAGGTTTCCCCACGAGCCCGGCCCCTGCGCACTCCGGGCCCAGCCTGCCACGCAACGGCCCCACCAGGCCCGCGACCCACTCACCCTGAGGCCCAGCCGTAGCCCTGACCCCGGCCCCCTGCGGGCTTGGCCTGGCCAACGTCTGCACAGCTGGCCCGGCTCCCCGGGCCGCTTGGAGGGTGGCCGGACTCCTCCCAGGCCCAGGCCGTGTCGTGGGTGGGACCCTGTTCCGTCCCGACCGTCGGTCTTCACCGTGGCGAAGGGCATGTTCTGCTGGGACTAAGCAGAGCGTCCAGTCAGCGGCGAGTCCAGTGAGACCCTCCAGCCCGTCAGCCCGTGAAGCTGGACTCTGCCCTCAGCCACTCCTGACTCCGACCCCCGGGCCCCCCCACACTGCCTCTGGGTTTAACGCCTCAGGCCCTCGTGCCCCTGCAGTCACGGGCGTCGCCGCCCCTGCTCCTGGCCAGCCCCTGCCTGGCCGTGCTCCCCACGGTGGGGGGGGCCATGCCCCGCACCCACCACCACAGGAGTGCCGTCCGGAGCGCCAGGGGCTGTGTCTGCAGCTCTCGGCCACTGTGCGACGCCCCGGATGGGGGCTCTCCGGGATGCGCCCCACTTTAGTCTGAAGGGCACCCCCGAGCTGTCGTTAACAGAGGCTGTGCCCCAGGACAAACGTGTCCCCGCTTCTCAAGAAGTGGCAATCCCCATGGAAATCCCAGTATTATTTTGAGTAAAACTCCCGAGCCGGTCAGCGAGGGTCTCTGCTGTGCCGCCCGGGGCGTGCGGGCGCCCGCGGGCTGCCCCAGCCCCCCGCCCGTGCCCGCCAGGCTGGGCTCCGCTCTCCCCTCATCGTTCTCTGCTGTGTTGGGAACGGGAAGATCACGTTAGAGGAGGCTCTACCAGACGGGCTGTCCGCTTCCCCACTGGGCCATGGACCGCGTGAGCTGGGGGCCCTGGCGCGAGGAGAGAGCTCCCAGCAGACATGGGCGCAGACAGCTCCTCCCAGCTCGGAGACTGAGTCACTGCTTCTTCGACGGACCTCTCAACGGCAGATGCTGTAGACTGATCCGCTCTCATCTGGCTACTCTTCCTTTTGCTCCTCTGCCTTTGCAGACACTGCCAAGAAATCATCATCAAATCCAAGGTCTTGAAGCTTTTCTTACATCTGTCTTCCTCCGGGTTTAATAGGTTTAGGACGAATGTTTAGACCTTAACCACTTTGTGTTACTTTTTATAGATAACTTAAGGTAAGATCCTGCTTCATCTTCTGCCTGCTGATAGCCGGTGTCCCACCCCCACTCCTGAAAACGCCGTCGTTACCCCGGGAGTACTCCAGGCACCTTTGCCAAAGAGCATTTGACTGCTTCGAGTTCATTCCTGGGCTTCTCGTCTATTCCATTGATCGACTTATCTGTGGTTATGTAGCACCACACCCTTTGAATTACTGTAGCTTTGTAATGTGTCTTGAAACCAGGAAATGTGATGCATAATTCAGTTCTTTCTAGTGGTTGTTGGTGTCCCTGGAGAGCCCATGTGAATGTTAGGATGTAGTTTAGATATATTGAAAAATATCCTTAATTATATTTAGATAAAAAAAAAAGTGTATCTAAATAGGCTCAGGGGCGGTGAGAGGCTTCACCAGAGACAGAGTGGGGAGCAGAACAGGCAGATCAACGAAGTCCACTGCTGAGGGGAGCAGCGGGCGGGTCAGGAGAGGTCTGCCGCGCCCTGGGGTCACCTCGGGGGCAGGCGGGAATCGAACTCATGCGGAAGCGGCTTTAGATTCTCAGTGCTGTGCGTTAACCCGCTGCGCCACCAGGGAGGGCCTAGATATACTTTTTTACTAAAAATAACATCGGGATTTGGATTGGGATAGATTTGGATCTTTGATCACTTTGGGCAGTACTGACATCCTCCAGCCCCGTGGATGCGAATCTTTCCGTGGATGGACGTTACCTTAAGTCCCGTCAGCAGTGCTTTGTGGTTCTCAGAGTACACTTTTGTCTCCTTGGTTAACTTCAGTCCTTAGATTTTATACCCTGATAGTAAAAGAATTGCTCTGTGTGTTTCCTATTTTGGTCTATGTTTTTGGAGTATAGGAATAACTGGCTTTAATGTGTGATGTGTGTGTACTGCCCCTTGGCTATTTATCCTTTGGTTAATCTGACTTTCAGTTGGTTGTTTATAAGATCATAAAAGAGCTGGTATCAGCTGAGGTATTTCCTCTGCCTTTCGTTTGCCTGCTGGCCCAGTTGCCCTGACTACCATCTCCACACTGTATTGGCCAGACGGTGGGCAATCCTCGCCTTTTTCTTCATCTGGGAGGAGCACTCCCCAGCTCTCCCCTGGAGCAGGATGGCAGCAGACCAGTGATGTTGGCAATCTCCTATTCCTATTTTTCCAAGAGCGTTTCCAAACAGGCAGTGTACTTCCTATTATTACTGCCTTTCTGCATTGCGACTGTCGTGGTTGCGCGCGCGTGGCCTCGTGGCACAGGGTCAGCAGCGGCCACGGCTGCAGCACGCGCTTCCACGCATGTGCACTCCTGCCGGCCCGCCCTCCGTCTGTCCTCTCGCTGCTCAGACGCGTCCCTTCTGTTAGTGTCCCCAAACGAGGCACGATAAAAGCTGCCATCAAAAGGGTTTTAAGAAGAGACAACAGGCTTGCATCAACTTCAGCCCATTTCACAGGGAAAAAGCCTTAATTTTTCACATAGAATTTAGCCCCTCCCGGCCCCAGGGAGGTCGAGGCTGTCCCTTTGGCTGGACAGACGCCGCCGCCCCACATGGCCGTGCCTCCGCCCGCCCACATGGCCAGGGCAGCGCCTGCGGGCGTGGCTGCCGGCAGGAGCAAGTTCAGGCTGCTGGGCCCAGACAGAGAAACAGTGGCTCTGGGTCACGTGGCTCCACTTGAGGCCAAGAGCCCCCAGGACACCTGCTGTTGGGCCAAGGACGAGAAGGACGAGGAAACGGGGCCGGAACTTGGGCAGGCACCACTGTCCCAGTCGCGGGGGGGGAGGGGCCGTTCACACTCGTGTCGCGTTGTTCTGTGTCATGAGGCCGTGGCCACTCCCAGAGTTCACCCGACGCAGATCTGGGGACCGAGCAGCCGCCCGCCCCTGGGGGCTCACACCCGCCCTTCTCCCCAGAGTTAGTCGCGGCTGCAACCGCAGCCACTGCTGTGGATGGTCCACAAGCGTCACGCAGGTGAGGCTCTGGCCCCAGGCCTGCTCACGCACGCCAAAGACCGTCCTCCGACTTCCAGAAAAGAAGGCAGAGGTGTCTGACGCGTCAGGCTTCTAGTAACCGAAGCAGGAGTATGCCAAGTCGCTGACAGAATAAAAAATTAAAACTCCAGGGCCTGAAAACACTTTCACGAGTGACTGACATGCCGGGGCCAGTAGGAGACTCTGAGGGAACTCGGGTGACGCAGCACCGCAGTGGAGCTGAGGGAGAGATGACGCCCCCTTTCCCTCCCTTCACAGAGAGAGATGGAGCCCCCCACCTCCCACAACCCACCCCACCGCACTGAGGGAGGGATGGTTCCCCCTTCCCAGCTGAGGGAGAGATGGCCCCCCATTGAGGGAGGTGAGGGAGGACAGGTCCCCCATTTTCCCTACCCACCCCCCCGCTGAGGGAGAGATGCCCCCACTGAGGGGGGAACTGGCCCCCTGCGTCCCCACATGGCCAAGTGTAAGCACGGCCGGGACACGGCTCTTCCCCGCCACAGGATTCACAGACAGAGGCCGGAGACCGGCCGAGGGACAGCTGGCCACGCAGGGGCAAAACCACAGAAAGGGGCGGGGCGGCAGACAGAGGCCCCGCTGGCTGCGCCCAGGAAGCCTCCGGGTTCGGGTCCCGCGGGAAGCCTCAGTGTGCCGGACCCCAGTGGACCGGGCCGCTGTCCGCGGGCCTCACCGGCGTCTTTCTGAGGGTCAGTGGTGCCGCAGACGCACGCAGAGGGCCGACAGTGGGCTTGTTCGCAAAAGGGGAAAGGGGCAACGGGGAGAGAACGAGGCGCCTGGACACCTTACGCCGGCAGCCCCGGCCGCGCGGCCCCGAGAGCCGCTGCCCGCGTGAGAGAGGCCGCGGCCGACGGCCCCCTGCGCCCCGAGCCCCAGATGCTGCTCCGCTGCGCCCTGGGGTCGCCCGGGTCTCTCCCGGGGCTGCGGGGGGCGGCGGGGGGCTGCAGCTTCAGTCGCTGGAGCAGGGAGCAGTCCGTCTCCGCGGG